TATTTTCAAATATTTTTACTAAATACATAAATCATTTCCACAAAATGGGACAACCTGCATAAAGACTGTCTCAGAACATAACTTTTTTTTTTTTCAAACAGGGTCTTACTCTGTCACCCAGGCTACCAGGCTAGATAGAGCAGAACCACCATAGCTCTCTGAAACCTCAAACTCCTGGGCTCAAGCAATACTCCTGCCTTAGCCTCCCCAAGCAGCCGGGACTACAGATGGACAGTATCACATCAGGTTAATTTTTCTATTTTTTGTAGAGACAGTATCCTCCCCATTTTAAAGGACTCAAGGTACCTTCAAGACCAAGAAGATGAACAGTTTTCATGGCTATCTTTAAGCATATGAAATTACTCAAAGTAATCTCTAGAAAGATTCCAAGAGCAACCAGAAGAAAGTTTACATATGTCTTCCTAATAGTTTCTTTCACTGAAAATCATAATTTAGCCAGCCATGGTGGCTCATGCCTGTAATCCTATTACTCTGAGAGGTTGAGGCAGGAAGATCCCTTGAGCTCAGGAGTTTGAGACCCGTCTGAGAGCAAGAGACAGACCCTGCCTCTACTAAAAATAGAAAAATTAGCCAGGCATTGTGGTAGGTGCCTGTAGTTCCAGTTTGTGAGGCTGAGGCAAGAGGATGATTCGAACCCAGGAGTATGAGATTGCTGTGAGCTGGACTAATGCCACAAACTGGGCAGTAGAGTAAGACTCTGTCTCCAAAAAAGAAAGAAACAAACAAACAGACAAAGAAGGAAAATCATAATTCTCCCTAAAAGGAAATTTGTTTCTAGTTCTACATTTTTCTGTGGGGCTTTCAAGTCAATATAATATTATATTAAGCACCCAATATACAAGACTCATGTAGGATTTCCATGATAACTAACATTATTTTACAAATGAAGAAACTGAGGCTAAGAGTTAACTAATTTGCCCAATAAAATTTCCCCCTACCCCAGGACTCATTCTAAGTGAGAACAAATACAGTATTTTAAAGAAGTGATAAAGTTCAAATCAAGATCTTCTGGCTACAAAGCTCTTGCTTTTCCCAAATTTAACCAGTTTTATTAGCAGCACACATGTAATTTTACAGTATTATGCTTTCCCTTACAACCAATAAAACAAAGCAATAACCCACTGGTACCCAAATTTCATTAGGCATCAGAATTACTTGAACAGCTTGATGAAGGACAGATTTCTAGGCCCTGTACCCAGAATTTTGGAAGTCAGTACGGCTGGGGTTGGGTCTGAGAATTTGCATTTGTAACAAATTCCTAGGTGATGCTAACGCAGCTTGTCCAGGAACCACGCTTAACCTTAACCGCTTGACCAAAACCAATAATTCTCTTCTCTCCACTTGCTAGCCAACTTGAAAGAATTCAATTACAGTTTTAGAAACACACAAACTTTCTATCTCCAAAAGCTTGAAACTCTAGGAAGAAAACAATCTGGCTGACAAAACTTGCAAACGAATTCAAAATATGTGTACTGTAATATTATTAGAAGGGCACCAAGCTAAGAGAAGCGACTAGCAGGCATGTTAACAGTCAGCACTCCTCTTAATGCAGACGGGAATCATTTCCTGGGAAAGTGGACACTAGAAGCAAAAAAGCAACATTAGCCATCTGCTACCAATAGACAACACGTCCTTTTGTAAGTTAAAAAAACTTTATTAATTCCATGTTGCCTTGAAAATAGTTTCCCTGACAAAACTGAAGCCAAAAATTTTTCCACCAAATAAAACAGGAAAGTGAACAGAGCACTTTTAATGCTGTTGTGATTTTGTTTGTTTGCCTATTACACTATACCTTATCCTATTCCAAGTCTGCCACTGAAGGCCGGGCATGGTGGCCTGTAATCCCAGCACTCTGGGAGGTTGAAGTAGGTGGATCACATGAGCTCAGGAATTAGAGACCAGCCTGGGCTACAGCAAGACCCCATCTTTAAAAGCAGCTGGGTGTTGTGTCAGGCGCCTATAGACCCAGCAACTTGGGAGACTGAGGCAAGAGGGTTGCTCGAGCCCAAGAGTTTGAGGTTGCTGTGAGCTATGATGCCATGGCACTCTACCCAGGGCGACAGAGTGAGACTCTGTCTTAAAAACCAAAGTCTACCACTGAAACACAAACAGCAACTAAATCAAATGATGGCCCATCCTCAACAACCATAAAAAAATCTGGCTAGTAACTAGCTGTCAGACTGCAATGTACTAGCAAATACATTTACACAGGTAGAGACACTTACCAAACATTTAGAATGTCTTTTTGATGATTTCAAAGAAAGCGTCAAGCTAGGGCATGGGGTATAGTGGTATGTGCCTATAATCCTAGCACTTTGGGAAGACAAGGCAGTATGGCCTCTTGAGCCCAGGAGTTTGGGGCTGCAGTGTTGCACCTGGGCAACAACCTTGTCTCTTCAAAAAAAAAAAAAAAAA